ACTAATGAAGTACATCAAAGCATATTATGTTCTGCATTTTGTGAGAACTAGGCAATTTATAAATGCTATTCACATTTAATTAGTAGTCATTTCTTCTCCGTAAGCATATTTACTCGGATCTCTTGTTCCTACGGCAACCCAGTGAGTATTACAGCTACAAGAAGAGCCTAGCCTAACCTAAAAAAGGATGGAGATTAATGAGCAAGCTCAATATTAAGACTATAATGCAAAAGACCAAGCAATAAGGTTGGCTAGGGGAGCATTACAAAGAAGTTTCAAATCAGAATCTCTTATTTCAAGGAGCCTATTTATAGCAGCATAGAGTTATTTATTCAAGGCTGCCTATAGTATACAGGGAGTATGAGAGATGACTCATTTAGTGCTAAGTTCTGCTTAATTGGCTATCTACTCAGGTACGGTGTCACACATATATATACATACATGTATATAATTATAATCTGCTTAACACACTTATCAATGGACTATATAAACAATATTACAAGCAGTTGTGCTTATGGATGTTTCCCTTAAATACTGCACTTGTTTAAAATTATGGAGTCTTTAGAATTAGCTTTGATATAAGACGTTGTCATTAAGTGTTTAGTGAAAAATGATTCTTAAATCTAAGTGTTTATGTTATTTTAAAGATAATTCTCTGATCCACTCTTTATTCTAGTTGCAATATTCAACTCTTATGAAAGGGTTGAAAATAAATAACAAAAGCATTGCTAAGGGTACCAGATCGAAAATAAACAGTTAACAGAAATTTTACATATTCCTCTAAATTCTGCTTAAGAGTGACAGTTCTTAATTTAAAGATTTAGGTGGGAGAGGTAGGAATAAGGAACTGAGGCCTAAATACATTTCTCTACAAAAAGTTATATAACTTTATAATGCCTATGAGAGACAAATTCAAAATAATTAAAAATTATTTAAACTTTAGAAAAAATTAGATGTAACAAAAAAAAAAAAGAAAGAAAAAACCCCAAGCTCCTTGGAATCAAGCTAATTTTGCATTGCATGTTGTGGATAGGTGGGAAATCATTGCCGCACATTATTTGTCGTAACATTTATTTATGTCTCAATACAATATGTGTGAGAGAAACTGAATATAAAGAAAGGCAAATTAGAAGTTATATAACCCTTGTTATCAAATGGTGCTTCGTAAAATCGACAGGATCTCTTCAGAGCTGGGCAGTTCGTTCTTGCTACAACACAGAGGCAATGGCATCGTTATGGAGCCTCTAAATTATCCTGCTCAGTGGCAAAAAGTAAAAATGATTCCTTCTGACCTTTCTACACTGCTTCATTAACTTTAACTCGCAAGCAACAAGTAAAAATGAGAAGCTTTCTGCAGCCCCTTCTCATATAACTGATTAAAAGAAGTAGCAGCTCCGCATCTGTTCAGGAGACTCTGGGTACCGCTCATGTGCTAAACGAGGGTAAATTGAGTGTGTGGCAAGAAATGCTTGCTATACATTCACTAATATTTATTTCCATTTGACCAGGGCATTTCAAATTTGTTTCTTCTTAGATCTACAGAGATCACTGCAGATGTAAAACAGTTTGCATGGCTTCTCCTGAATTATTAGTCAATAGCGAAATGATTTTTTGTGGCTCTATAAATAAAAAAAGGAAGCAATATTTTATAAGGATTAATCTGTGCAAATATTAATGGTCCACCATTTCTGTTGTCTCAACTTCAGTTCTATAATATAATATCAAATCCCTTTTAAAGATTTCATAATAGCTTCTACCTGTAATTTTCCTTTGTGAAAATGCGCTTTTACCAGCAACTATTGTCTATGTAGTGAATTAATTATGCTCAACAATTAAATCACAAGGCATTTCTCTCCCAGATAATCTATGAATTTGAGTTCAGCATTTCTATAGGTACTTCTGTGCCTCTGTAGGGAGAGTATTTTAATACCAAAGAACACAGCAACTTAAATGCCATTCCTTGGGTTTTATGAAAAAGCAATATAGGAGAGTAAATAGGGCAAATATCAACAACAAAGAACCCCTACTTTGAGTCAAACAATAAATGCAAATAGAAGAGCTAAACCAGGGAAGAGAGGTAAGAGGTGAACACTGTGGTCTGAGTATTCCTTCCTGACAATTCTGTGTGAGGCAAGAATATTCTGATATCTTAAAAAAAAAAAAATCGTAATAGACCATCAGTGAATCCTCTTCGCTTAGTTTCCGAGGTAGAATTAAAACGCAGACCCAGAGGCACCAAGACTTGAAAACTCATCCCTCCCGCCGCAGATACTCAGCATAGAAGAGCAGCAAACTTCCTAAATAACCACAATTAAATTTCACACACTCTCTTCTCCTTTCCTGGTTTTCAAACGTGGGGTTATTTATCAGAGAAGAAAAATTGGACGCTGCGTCTTTTGAAGACAGCCAGGCACTCCTAACCTAATTAGCGTTAACCACCTCTGAAAATATAAATGCCCTGAATCCTGCAGCTCAAAGGTCCCTCCCCCATCCCTGCGCTCCTCCAAACACACCAGCAACCTGGGCAGGGTTGAACAGCCCGGTAGATAATAACCTTCCCGCCTGACCCCCAGCAAATAGCACTAAAGAGGCATTTGCCACCGTTTTCCCAGGAAATCCGATAAAACGACAGCACGGAGGGTGATGCAAGCGATTTTCTTGAGTTGCTTTGTCTGTGTTTAAACTTCATGCCCACGACACCGCAAAACACGGCCCGGGAAGCTACCCGAGCTGGGAAGCCTCCGTGCTCAAACAGAAGGCTCAGAAAAGAATGGAGATTTGCAGATCTGATAATGAGCCAGTTAATGACATAAATGATACCTCAAGAACCTCACTAAACCATCCAGGTCCTACAATTTAATCTGTAATAAATACTCCTGCATCATTGCGAGATGGCTGCTCATAATGGCAAATGAAATATGCTGGTATGATAGGTACAATAAATCTGGATTTTCCTATGGTTCCCTCAGGCTAGAACAATATGTAACCACAGTGCGCACTGTCAGGGTGAGCAGATCTCAAAGCCATCATAAAATCTAAATGGGGACTAATTAGGAGGCCCTTCCCTTCCAGAGTTACTATTTCTATTGACATTTTCCATGCATGAGCCCCTCCATAACATCATAAGTCACCAAGATAAGAACTCCCTAGATTATAGGGAAAAAGCTTTAATGGAGAAGTTGAACTCAAAGGCGATGCATAAATTTTCCTTTTGATACTACGGGAAGTCCGTGTTGAGTACTTTCTTTACAAACTTTCAAGCTCTGAGCAGGGTACTTTTTAATCCCTCTGCCCGCTTCCCTATGGCCTGGACAGTCCCAGTCTCTCTGCACCAGGAGCGTGAGAGTCAGGTGGTGCCCAGGGAGGATATTAAAAGAGAGTGGGGCTGCTTGTGAAATTGATGGCTGTGGGTCAGGAGAGTGCCAGGAGGTGTACTTGGCAAGTTGACTTCTGGTTCCGGGCCTTTTGGTTTGAAGGCTGGGATTTTCCTAAAGATCACTGAAGATTAGGCTTTTCCCGAGGCTCTTCCAGTCAGGAGTGGAGGAGATTTCTTCAAACAGGCCCTTTCAATGCAGGGAAGTGAAGCCATTCCTTTGATAAGCCAGGATGCCACAGGTCCTTGGGAAGAGGTGAGGTGGGTCACTGGGGTGGGAGGTCACCTTTGTGCTTGGCAGGGCTTGGGAATGAGATTTCTAGGCACTGTGGAGTGGAAAAGCGGTGGAGAGAAACCAGGGCGATAGTGTCAGGTGGACCTCCTCTTTAGTTGTCTACCACAGGTATGACAGTTTCTTAACTTTTCTGAGAAGAAAATCCTCAGTTAAAGCAGGGAAAACAATAGCTAATCTCATAGGGATGTTGTAAGGGTTGAGAAATGTGTGGGGATAATTTTAAAAACAGCTGTGAATATTATTACTTATGAAATGCATTATTTCATTTCAAAGGAATAAAATTAGGAAAATACCATGAAAAGGGGATGTGCAATACAGTATTCCTTTTCCTCAATCTTTGTTTTATGCAAGAGGAAAAGCCCAATGATGCTGGGGGTGAGTTGTCACATGCTCCTATGAAATGGAAGTTCTGTATCAAAGAGTCCTGGTCCTGGTCCTAGTTTAATTACTTGCAAATATTGTCTGACTTTCGTATTTGTTAAAGTATTTTTCGTTACTGAGTGATGAATGAAGAGCAGAGGCACCACCGCTGAACTGTCCCTCAGCAAGGCGGGCCCTACAGGGTTCTATTAGCAATTTCTTAACAGCCGAAGTTTGGAACTTTGACCTCAAACATTTTCTAATTCAGGGTGGCATGAACAACCAAGGCCACTTCCCTCTGTGCATAAAAAGTGAGTAACATACAAATCTCCATCATGGCATGTAAAATTGGCTGTATTACCTAATTGATTGGGATAAATACATTCCTGTTCTCTATCATTCTCTATTCTATGCAATAGATCACACCGTCTCTGATAGACATTTGGTGAATGCTTTTAGCTGCAAATGCTTCTAGTCTGAGTTTATGATTAAACTGATAGTAAGTAACAGTTTTGTGTGTACATTTATTTATTTTAAATTTATGCATAAACTTCTACTTTGTATTGTTACCTTCCAGTGGGGCTGAGTTTGTATGAAAAATTATTTTCATCATTTGTTATTGCCAATTGGGCTTACATAAACTTTGCTGAACTCATTTCATTTGTTGGTCTTGGCTACCAAAATGCAGTTAGTATCACTTAGTATTGAAAATTGGGAGGGTGTCCTCATAATGTTTTACAGAAAGTGTGTATAATTACCTGTAAACATTATAAGGACAAAAATAGAATGAAAATAAAACATTTCAAAGCCTATAGTATTCAAATTTTGTGGGTTCTATGAAGTTAAAACTATAAATTAAATTTCAAAGAGTCAAGAAATAGGTTTTATTAGAACCTAACAATAACTTTCTGAATAAGACTGTTTATTATAATTTTAGTAAAACATTCATCTTTTTGTTTCTTCTCACCTCAGTGATACTCAAACAATCCTGATAAAAGCAGCCTGTACACTGAATTCTGTGCTGAAGCCACCACTAGAAAAAAGAAAGAAAGAAAGAAAGAAAAAGCTAATAACAAAAGGGAAAGGTAATCATATTATTGGATTTGTCATACCACTACAGTCTTAGTTTACATAGGAAGAGAAAACACTATTTACCACTAATAATTTTCAAACTTCAGGTATGTTTCCTGGGCCCCGGTCAAGTTGTTAGGGTTCAAAGCCAGCTGTGGTGTCAGGAATGTTCTCTTTAAAAGTGAGATTTGTCAAGGAAGAGGGAGGCTGAAGGTTTTTGTGAACTGAGATGTCCTGTTGACTCCCATTCTCTCCCATTCCTGTCTTCGTGGGACTTCCGAAATACTGCTTAGCTTAGTTCTCATCGACTCAGAATTTACCTTAAGGTTTAGGTGTTTAGCATAACAGTTTATTCACTCAATGAATATTTATTTTATTGCCTATTCTGTATCAACACTATACACCATTGTACAAAACAGGAAAATAACCTGTCTTCATGGAGCTTATGTTCTACTTCAGGGAGAAAGACAGTAAATATACAGGTAAATTCATCATAAGTTGGATGGTGATAAATGCTAGGAACAGCGTCAGAGGGATAGGAACTGGGGGTTGCAGAGGGGAGCGCTGACGTCTTACATGGGACAGTTGGGCAATGCCTCACTGAAAAATGACCTTGGAGCAAAGACCTGAAAAAGAGGAGGGAGCCAGTCGCGTGGATACCTGGAAGCAGAGCATTCCAAATAGAGGAAACAGCAAGTGCACATGTCCTGAGGTGGGGACAGGCATGGTGTCTTTAATGAAAAGCCAGAAGGTTAGTATGGCTGGAGAGAAGGGAACAAAGAGGACAGCAGTGGGAGATAAGGTCAAAAAGGTGGCAGCTGGCCAGCTGGTGTAGGGCCTGGTGAGCCTTTGTAAGGACGCTGACTTTTATTTGGAGTGAGATGGGAAGCCTCTGAGCAGAAGAGTGACAGGATCTGATTTATGCTTTTAGACTATCACTCTGGCCTTTATATCAAAATTCATGTGGGGTGGAAGGAAAGGGGCGGTGGTCAGGCAGGGAGACCGGTAAGGAAGCTGCTGTAGTAATCTAGGGGAGAGAGGTGGGGGGCTGGGACCAGGCTGGTACAGCTTGAGGAAATGGTCAGATTTTGGATATGTTTTGAAGGCACAATATATAGAGTTTGCGAAAGGATTGGACGTGCATGTGAGTGAAAGGCAGGAATGAGAAAAGGAAAGATTAACTACCCTTTAAAATGTCTATTTTATAACAAATAGTGATCGTATTCTTATACAACATAGGAGACAAAATGATTACTTTGTTATGGTATTGTACATTGTCCTTCAAAGTGTACACAATCATTCATTCAACAAGCTCAACAGATGCTGAATGAATACCTGCTACATACCAGGTGCAGTGCAGGGGATGTAACCCTGAGTGAGACAGGCAAGCTCCCTTTTCTCTCTGAGCTCATATTTTAGTGGAAGAGGAGGAGAGGACAATAAAAAAGTTAAAACAATAAAGAAAATTGTAGTATTTCTTTTGAAATAACTAGCAATATTGCCATGTTTAATAGAAACATCCACCATCATGATTAATCTTTTAGGTTCACTTTTGCGATAATAATCTGTAAAAAGGATACTGCTTCCAAAATCTTTACCCACACGTGAACATTTTTTTTACTGAATATGTGACGTTGGACATAATAATAAAGTCAGGATTCCAGACATACAGAAAAATGGAAGAATATCAGAGACACAAAGTAATATGAAATAGCAATTGTATATGCAAAGAAAATACCCTGAATCTAAGAAAAGATAGAAAACAAAAACCATACCTGTACTGTACTGGTACAAAAAGACCCATTAAATTTTGTTTTAGTCTTCATTTTTAACTCTTTTTAAAAAAAAATTTTTTTTTTTTTACCGAAGTATAGTTGATTTACAATGCTGTGTAGTCTTCATTTTAAGCTAAGGAAAAATAATACACTGCTAATTATAAAGATGGTAACTTTCAGTGAAAGCTGTTTTTTTATTAAAAGTATGTTTTGCCAAATTGGTAAATCGAATGATGAAATTGGTATTGGAGGTTTGGATGATTTGCTTAGCCTAAATTAATTAGATAATTACTTCGAAACTTCTTTGATCTTATTTATTCTCATAATTTTAACTACCATTCATGAGAACATCCAGATCTCTGTATCTAGCCCTGAGAATCCTCTGAGCTTCTGGCTCCTGTACCTAAATGTTGCCTGAACACATTCACTGGGAACTTCAAAGTCTACGTGTTGGCACATTGCCACTTCTCTATTTTTCCAAACCAGTATGGCTGGTTTTTACCTTTGAATTTCCTCTCATTCAGTAGTTCTTAAACCATCCAAACAATCAAGAAACCAGAAACGTGAGAGCCATACTCATCACCTCTCCCTTCCTCACCCTTCGTACACAAACAATAATAAACCCTTTCTAATACTTTTATTCAGCATAGAATGGATTATGCTGTAGTAATGAATGACCCCAAAACCTCAGTGGCTTCACACTACAAAAGTTTATTTCTCATTCTCCAAAAGTCTTCTGCGTAAGCCCTTCTTGTGACAATTCAGCTTTCCACTCATTTTTCCTCTTATGAGAGCTCCATCCGTATATGTGCTTCCACAAACACCATGGCAGACGACTAAACAGTGGCAGGTCACACAGAGGCTTTTCCACTTTTTGGCCCAGAAGTGATATATGTCTTTCCTATCCATGGCCTATGGACCAGAAGTAATTACATGGCACAACACCGCAGCCCCACAGCAAGGAACCCGAGAGCTACAGATTCACATGTGCCCTAAAGGGCAGGTGAGCATATCTACCCAACCTTCTAAACATGTCTAAACCTTCGAAAAATATTATATTTTTTGGCCTGCTTACAACACCTCGCGTTATCTACAGGATGCAGTTTATTGTCCACAGTTCTTTGCATCATGCTCTTTTTCACCCCTCCACCGCCACCCAGTGACGTGGCTCACACAGTTGGGAATTGTTCTGGCATGCTCTTCCCGCTTCTGCACCTAACTGGCTTGCAACAATCCTCAAGATAGAGTTTGGGCCTCATCTTCTCTAGAAGGCATCGTCAAAGCTCAGATTGGACGATGCATCGTCCTTGGTATCCCAGAGCTCTTAGCACTTACCACATCATTACATCAAATTATTTTTTGATGTACAAAAAATTGTATTTTTGATGTACAGCTGTCAAACTTCAAACCCTGGATGATAAATTCCTCAAAGGCAGATACATGTGCTGTTCACCTTTGTCTCCCCAGCACTCAGTGCAGTGCTTTGTACGCAGTTGACTTTTATAAATGTTTATTGAGTTAAACTGTTATTTGGATCTTACTATCTTATTTGGAATCTGAATATTGTATCTAATATTTGGAGATGCTAAAAACAGTAACAGGCACAATAGAATTTGTATGGTTTAGGTTAGAGGAGAGTTGACCTTCCCACTAATTTATGCATAACAGATGACTTAGCTAATTTGATTCTTCTTTCTTTGTAGTTAATCGAAATCTAGTCTTGGGAGAGGTGCAGCATAAGAATATGAGTTCGGCTCTGTCTTTAACCTACCCTTTGAAAGTATATGGGCTGCGTAGTGTCTTTTCATTGTAGCGTGCTTTAAAAAGAATTTCTGAGCTCTTCGCTACAGGCAAATTGCTGGTTCAAAAAGTACTTTATGAACTACAGTTCACCCTTGAACAACACGGGTTTGAACTGCACAGGTCCACTTACATGCAGATTATTTTTAATAAATAGATGCACTACTAAGCGATCCATGGTTGGTTGAATCTGTCGATGCAGAACCACAGATACAGAGGGCCAACTATAGGACTTAAGCATCTGCGGATTTTGGTACACACGGGGGCTCATAGAAAGAATTCTCTGTGGATTTTGAGAGACGACTGTACTGAATCATACATTTAGTCTAGACGTAGAAATCTAGAAACAATATGAAAAAAACGCAAGTGAACCCACAGTAAAACCTACCCAAGGATATGCCAAAGATACATGCTCACGCAAAATAAGTTATTAAAATAAAAAATCAACCAAATAAAGACTCCTGGACCTCTAACTCCTCTAGGTTAAAGTCATCTTCTTTGTGTTAATAGAATATTGGTACCTATGATTGATCCAAGTATTGTAAAACAAATACATATTTGTTAAGCAATTACATGTATGATAGAGATATTCAAATACATTCAAATACATTAATAATTTGTAAAACAAATTATATTGAGGGGCCCCACTTTTCTTATTGCTATAATGAGGTGGTTGGAATAGATGATATACATGAGTTAATAGTATCTTAGGAATTTATGAATAAGGGTACATAGGCATGCGGGTGTAAAATATGAAATTGGCCAAGTTGAAGATTTGGAAAAATCAGTAAAAAATTTTCATAAAATTTAAAAATATATATTCTTAAAGGAGTGGAAGAACTAGATTCAAAGTAATAATAGTGATAACTAATTTTTGTGGACCTGAAATAAGACTACATACTGGTCATCCGTCTAAGCACTTTAGATGCATTATGTTATTGAACCTGTACAACAACACTGTCAAGTGAATATATGGTATCTCCATTTTAGAGATGAGGAAACTGAGTCACAGAGAAGTTAAGTAATGTATCCAGGGTCACAAAGTCAGCAAGTGGAAGTGCCTAATTTGAAAGTAGGCAGTCTGCCACCAGAGCCCATGCTAGTAACCAACATGCTATTCTGTCTCCTATTGAGTGTTAGGCTTCTTTTCCTTCTGATTGCCAAAAAATGCTTACTGATTTTTCTCTCAAGTCATACTGCTGAATTACAAATGTTTAAGAATTTATTTCAATTTCATGATGAAATATCTATTTGATGTACTGTATTTATTTAAAAAAAAAAGCATTGGCCACATCAAAAGTGAGTAGAAATTAGCATTCAACCCTAAATTACCTTTGCTGTAGGGTCTTTTTTTCTGGGTATGAAGTTTCTGTTCCCCATTTGGGTCAAATTTATGTTATTTCAATTTGCAGGATTTTTTCTTCCTTAGATGACCTGCA